TACTCTCCCCTCCATGTTTGGCAGGGCTGGGCAGGTGACATAAGGTGCTGAAATCAAATGATTAGTTCTACCACTGCATGGTCAAATCATCTTCGTCTTAATTTTGGAGCTATTTTTCAATATTCCTTCCACATCATATCTACACTGGAGTCTGAAAAGGGAAATCAGAAAGAGCAAACAGGTCACACTTTGACTTTGCAGCATCCTCTACCCACCTTGCCCAAGAACAAACTGTGTACTAGGTAAGCAGCCTGAGTCCTCATTAGTGAGTGGGGGGAAGTCTGTGTGAGCAGCCTCTCTGTTGAATAGATAGAGTGTATCTAACAAAAGGGATGACAGATTAGGAGCTGTCTGGTGGCTAATGTACTGTTTACTGCAGTATAAATGACTGGTGTTTGGGAAATGACAGATGGGAGAGAGCACATGTACAGACTTAACTGGATGGAGCCCGGGCGCCCCTCCCCAGGTCCGGCCACGGTCCCAGAGGGTCCCAGTGGGGAATTCCCTGGCGGAGTGGGGGACCAGACCGCGCTGGCAGCTAAGCAGGACCCCCACCCCACCCCCCGGGACCGGAGGGGGCATTTCCAACAACTTTTTAAAATGCGTCCGGGGGGAGGGGAGACCCCCTTCCCGCCCTCCTCTCAGGCCAGTGCCCAGGAGGCTGTGGACACCCCCGCGGCAGGGTGGGGACTCCGAAGCTTGGCCCCCCACTGGCAACAGCACCCAGCAGGCTGCCAGCGACTAGGGGGGCGGGGAGAGAACCCCGCATGGGCCGCGGCGCTCCATGTTTTGATCGCTTTGCACCCGGGAGGGGGTCATGGCGGAGGAGCCCGGGTGCCAGGGGTCGAGTGGCGGGAAAGTTCGTCTTGGGGGAGCTGGGGACGGAGGGCGCAGGCGGGACGAGTCCCCCTCACCACCCCGTCCCTAAAGCCTTTCTAGATCCCAAAGTTCCTGCCGCCCAAAGGGGCCGAGAGAACCCTAGACGCCTCAGGGTGCAGGCACCCCAGCCACCCTCCCCTTCCAACCCTACCCCCACTCGGCTATCCGGGGACCCCACACCTGGCTGGCTCTCCCGGGCTCTGGTCAAGCGCGCCATCTGCTCACTCAGCCCAGCCGGGGCCCCTCAGCCGGCGCAAGGCGCCGGTATTTACAAACTCGGGAAGGAGGCGTTCCTCCCGAGCTGCAGGGAGGCCTTCGGTGCCCAGGGAGTGGACAGCCGGCATGCGCCCTCATCCCATCCCCATCCCCATCCCCATCCCCGGGGCGGGCGCCCAGTCTACGTACATGATCGCGGGGTGCCGGTCGGGCTCC